TAGATGGCAGCTCAGAAGGAGGTACCTTGTAACCAGTGCACAGGGACAGCCACAGCGCTGCAGAGACTGGAAGGCTTTGCTAATCGCCTTTTCCATAGGCATTCAAAGAGTGGTGCGCATGAACAGAGAGCGGCTCCGGAAAATGAGAGCCAGCATTGCTCAGAACTTGCAGTCCTATGGGACAAATCAAGTAAGTCGGGGGTTTGTTTGTTGTATAGATACTCGCTCTTCAGTTTGCCTGGCAAGGGAAGAACTCGCATATTTGTAATCGAATACGAACGCTGAGCTGTGCCGGGGGCAGTTTTACAATCCGTTGCCTAAAGGTATTAATTTGAAGAACAGCATATTGCATCAGGCAGGGGAAGGTGGGGGCTGGTTCGTGGACTGGTGGCTGGCAGGAGAATTTATCCCTCGTCCCTTCTTTTCTCTTAAAGCACAGTTGACTTGTTTTGGCAAGCCCCCACCCCAATTTTTACTTCTAAATTACTTCCTTTATTTTCAAATTAAATCAGCTAGTTCAGCAGAAATGGAAAACTCATTAAACGTTGTAATGTTTGAACTTTGGGATAGGCAGACATTGCTGCACAGCTTAAACTTCTAATTATAGGGCTTTTTATCATTCATTTTATTTTAACGGTTATATACATCAGAACGCTCTATACAGTGGTAAACAATATAAAATCGTGTTTGGTTTTAACTATTATGTATTTAGCGTTGGAATCCTGACTATCATTAGCTTTAATTTCGTAATTAGTGAACAGTTTACAGTATTACTTGTATGGATTAAAACTTTTCATGATTGCATTTTGGGTAATAAAAGTGAGAGATTTCAAAAAGTATCACAATCTAAGTAAATTGACATTTGATTTTCATTTTTTTCTTTTAAAGCCATGCATTATTTTGCAAAGCAAATATTGTCTCTGTGGTTAAATACTCATTTTAAAATGTTACAATATGGTAATTGATGATAATTTTGTTCCAGATTTCAGATTCATTGATGGATTTGAGATGGCACAATTATTTCAGTTGAAAATAGGCCTTATTGGAAGTGCTTAGCATCACAGTGTTACCATGAAGAAAATCAATGTTTATACATCTCCCTGCTTGCAATTTAAAATATGATATGAGTAGGGAGTGAATCTGTTCTCAGAGGATAAGCAGTAAATACGGAAACAAAAAGGTGTTAATGCATTGACCTAAAATAGATTAAATCTAGGTCTCCTAAATGGGAAAGGATCATCTAGTTTCGTTGGGAAGATAAATGATAAGTGCAGAAGTTCCGAGCTTCCACTTCTCCAAAATATTTTCAGCTTGGTAAAAATAGAGGCATACGTGTGTTTATGTAGAAGCTCTTTTTTATGTAAATAGCCATTTGAAAAAATAACACTGAAGCATTTTTGTTTATATAACATGAAGAGAAAAATGGTATTGACCTACTGACACTTACAAATTGTGACCTGTTTGTGTACAAGTCTCTGCTATTTTTTTCCCCCCCTCTATTTAAGGCAGGCTTCCTCCTATGACACGCTTGATGAGGAAATGGACTGTTGTGTCTCTTGATGATAAACATGGTGAAAATGGCTGTTCCGCGAAGGCTGTTTTAAGTCATAATTAAGCACAGTGGTTGCATGCAGTTTTTCTGAGCCAAAGTTACTGAGCTGGTAGCTGAATGGTGATTGATGATGTAGCTTTGGTTTCGGGGTGAAATTCTGAAGCTTTATCCTGAACCTTTACTCTCAATTTATAGATTCTTTTTAAAAAATAATAAATGAAAATACTCTAGGTACACATGGACTAAGTCTACGTTTCAAGATTCTCATTTCACTACCACTGTAGCTGAAGGAGTGATAGAGAAGATAAGGAGGACAGTGGAGGGACTATTTCTGTCTACTACTGACTCCTAATTATATCTTCAGAAAAATACATCATCTGTGAAAATTCTTTGTGAAAAATGAAAGAGAACCAGTTTTGTTTGTTTTTTTGTTTGTTTTAGCTGAGAATTCATTGTCATAGAATTGCACAGGTCACTGAATTCAGGTCGTAGATTAATTTCACAGAAAGTTTAATAGTGTTTTAGAAACACACTGGTGTTTGCCTTGTAAGGATATTTGAGTATTCTCAACTATTTTGCCCGTATCACTGCAACTTATGAAATGTTGCTGTAAGGTTTCAGGTGAAGCGACATAGCAGACACTTAGTGTGAATTACTCTTGAAATTCAAGGTAAAAGCAGTCTTTTTAATTCCTGAAAAAAGTTTGGAAGTGACTTCTCAGAATTTTTCTTGTTTTAGGTTTGAGGTAGAATTCATTTGAAAAGAAAGTTAATATATTTATACCTTGTGCTGTAACGAAATACTGTAACAGGTCTTTTATCATGTATGTCCTTTTACAAGCAGTTACTGCTGAAGCTATGGGTTTGCTGAAGGGGAAGGAGCTGCCCCTTGTTGGGTGGACTCTGTATTGTCAGTCGTCAAGTGGTGTGGGTTTGAGTAGTTTGCCATGTGGTCTATGGCCTTCGGGGTTTTTCAGTGGTGAATTTTGAAATTTAACATCTTTGCTTCATTACTCTGATATGTAAACGGTACAATTTTTCAAAAGTGCCTTGGTTTCTGGCTTGATGCATGAAACAAATGAATGTGTTTTGTAAAATCCTCAGAATCCAGTAGGGCTGAGGTGGCTCAGGACACCGCAAGCCTTGGAATCTGTTTTAAAAAGCTGACTGAGTGCATGTGTGATTGTACAGCCTGAACCGGTAACGTGGTCAGTTGTGCTGCCCAGCCAAAGGATGAAAGGGGTGTGATGGTAGTCATCAGGACGATGTATTTCATTCTTAGTTTAGACCACTTGCAACTATATGGAACCTACGTTTTGATTTTTGTTTTGTTTTCATAATTGCTTGTTGCTCTTTGCAGGATTGAAATGGGAAAGGAAAGGAGAATGAGGCTGCTTGGTTTTGAATGTAGAGACAGTAAGATCAGTGTGACTCTTATTCTTGAACTAGTACAAATATTTTCCAAATCTATGCATAATAAGAGAACACATTAACAACTTGGATAACTGAAATGGTCAGGAGAGTCAGCACAACTGCATCTTTCTGTCATCTTCACAGTCTCTAAATTGCAAATGGATGGGCGATGAGTAGTCAGAGGAATATTATTTGGTCTCTAACTGATTCAAAATAGTATCAATATACTTTCAAATACCGTGGAATGTCTTACAGAGATTTAGCTGAATAATCACTAGATACATATATGTTTTTATGTGGAGGAAAAAATACATGTGAAATATGAAATAATGTACAGACTACATTGTGTGAATTGATTAAAGCTTTAGAATAACTACTAGTTGGGTACAAGTCAACAGATAATTCTGGTCTAAGGTTGCCATGGAAACAACCAGTGCTTGATATAATTGAGAACATCTTAAAACCTCCTGGTGTTTGCATGCTTTTTTCCCCCTGCCATTTTGAGTTGCTTTAGACATGAATAGGTAGCATTGGTCAGAACAGAAGTAGTTAATGAGCAAAACCAAATATCCGTGTCCTGAATATTGATTTTTGGTTTACTACTGGTGTCTTGTGCTTCATAGTTTTTTGCATCACAAGGAGCTCATAAGGAAGAGCAGCTCTCTGGATTCTGTGTGCTCTCTCTTTCCAGTTAGTGTGTAAGTGTGTTTAGAGATCGAAGCACTGATTCTGTAGAGATTAACATACTTCATCAACTGTTGGATTAATATTAGGAGCAATATGTTTCTGAAAACTAGCTTTTCAGCATGAATGGTAAGTCTTTTCTATTACCTTTGACACTATTTTTTTGTTCCGTCTTCACAATCAGGAAAAATCTACCAGGTTTCCCTTTCTTGTCTGCATAGCTGCATCGACTACTGATCTCTTTGTTTTTGTAATCGACTCACGGTGGGTTTCTGTTAAAAATTACTAGCCTTAAAGATTTGCAGGTTTTATTAAACATTTTGCTTTGCATAACTGGTATTTAGTATTTGAAATTCTATTTTAAAGCTTTCTTTTGGAAATAACTGTTCCACATCATTAAATAAGGCACAGAATTGGATTTGGAAAATTTTATAATTGAATGTAGTATATGTCAGTTCACTTAATTTTCTGTGCCATTCATAATAAATTATTTTATCTGAATTGATACAAATAGAGAGGCCTTCTGAAATTATTATAATGATCACCTAAAAATTCTGAACTGGCTTTTGTTGTTTTTCATCTGAATCAGCTTATTCTTCTATGGTTTTTATTCTTTTGAAATGATGGGATAGCAGAATAGTTCAGGTCATTCATGGAAGTAGGGGAGGGGAGTCTCATTTGAAATGAGATATTATAATAGATCTAATAAACTTATCAGGCAGGTATTTGCTTTCCAAAACCACTGTGACTACTTATTATAATGTACTTTGAATTTAATGGAATTATGAAGTACTTTATTCTTACTTGGAATATTTTGAAAGTTGTATCTAATTATATAAACTCTGTACATTTATTTCCTTAGAAACAGATATCCTTTGAAAATTGTTTGCAAAAAGCCCAAATACATTAGTTTCTGAAATGATGCCTTTTTTGTTTCAAGCAGGTAGTCTGGAGCTTTGGAAAATGACTTAAGAGGGTTAGAGATTGCTTGAAAAGAAAAAACAGTTAATCACGGATACGGGGTTTGTGTGTGTGTGTGGTTTTGCTTTATCCTGCAAATTTAAAGGACCATTTTTACGGATGTTTCACTTTTGTACATGGCATGAGATAAAGAGTGGGAGGAGTCATCCCACTGCCTTATCTAATATCAGCTTATATATACACACTTATCTCATATAAATGTGTTGAGGTCATCTTCCCTGAAATGGAAAGTGTGGCTGTCATTTCCTCGGTGTACAAAGTACAATATACAAGTGTCAAAACTGGTACAGATATAGGACAAGGTTTCCGAACTTTGTACGTACGTTATGGAGGTTTATCTTACAGCATCATGGCTGTTCAAGCAAGCCTGAATGCGGGCCGTCCCTGGAAGAGGTGGCCCAGCCTCCCTTGTGTGCTGCCCGCAGCCCTGCGGGGATGCTGGCAGGCGGGAGCCCGGTGGGGAGCTGGTGTGGCCTCGCTTGTTCACGCCAGCCTGTGCTCGTGCCACAGGGACGCGGTGGCAGCGCGACCTCCCCGCCAACAGCTGCCCCTGCTCAGCCCCTCTGGAAAGCGAGGGTGAAACTACAGCCTTGCTGCGCTCCCTCGGCGTCAGGCGGCCGCCTTCATCTACTGATGGGGAGGTCTCTCGTTGGGTCAGAAAATCTCTGCTTTTCACCAGTTACCAGGCTGGGTTTTCCATCACCTTTTCCTCTGTTTCTCTTACAGTTAGATTGTAGCTTCCACAGGAATTCAGGTTTGTGGAAATCAGCTCTATGAATTTTGAATTTTGCTGCTTGGGTGGTTTATTGTTTTTGGTATTCTGTTATGATTGAGTCATTTTGAGGGAATATATTTCTTACAAACTAGGTGAAAAAGAGGTTGCAGGTGTTTTGTTTTGTTGGTTGTTTTGGGGTTTTTGGGGGGTGGGGGTGGTTGTTTTGTTTTCTTTTCTTTTCCCTGGGGCTTTATTCTGCAATTTGCATCTGTAGATTTCATTCATCTTGACATCTAGGCTCCCGGTTCCATTAAAAATAGAAATAAATAGCTGCAACTTTTACCAAGTGTCAGTCAAAAGGATCTATAAATCAGAAGTCTAATTTTGACAAGGGAAAGGTGACTATTTCCTCCTCCATCAAGTGAGGATTAGATTAAGTCTTCGCTGTAAACATTTCCTCATTTAAACCACTTCTGCTTTTCAGTGTACCTTTGTGGCTGTCTTCACTGCAGCAGTGTTACATTACACCCTGTCAGTGGGTAAAATCAGATGCTCTCCTTGTGAAAGACTGCCAGGATGCAAGTGAAGCCTCGATGAAAAAGTGATATATTTTCTTCAATTGCAAGTACAATTGGCTTACTTTTTTTTTTCAGGAGAGGTCCAGTTATATGACTCTTTTTCTGGAAAGAAGGACAAACTGTTTTTCTGTTTCTTTGGTTTAGGGTTTTTGTTTTGAACAGCAGAACATTCTTGAACAGATAAAACTGGAAGGCCAAGTAACTTCAGTAGCCCCAGCTCCCAGTTCTGAAAGGTGCTACTCTGCTAGATCATCAGTTTCACTAGGAATAGGCTTAATACTCCCAAGTATCACCAAGTACATGGTTGGGCTAGTACTTTCAAATACTGCAAATAGAGGTCATTGCTGATACAGAAATTCACACTCGTAAGATAATAGTTACCAAATGTGTGTGGAGACAGATGGAGCAGTAAGAGGAAAGAGTATGAGCAATGCTGATAGACTCTGCTGAATTATTGCCCAGCTTTGTGTGCACTGGAGAATAGGAGTGTTTCAGGAGTGAGGGCAAAGGGAGGTAGTATAAATGTCTTAGTTATGTGTGTGGGGAACATCTTTTAAGGGCAAGGGACAACAAGTAGCAACTAATTATTCTCGCTGCTGAAAAGACTATAGAAGATGGAAAGATGCCATGGAATGTCCAGGTGCCAGAGCTATACATCTTCCTATATGCGTCTCATGGGACTAACGGTTTCTTCCTTTCAAAAATTCCCCAATGTTACCCGTTACACTCTGACAGCGGACTAGGATAATTTCTTAGGTGTTGACCTGGGTTCATGTTTTGTTCTGATTCTTGTATGAAATATTTTAAAAAAGAAAAGGCAACACAAGAGCTGCTGCGCCGACGTAGTTCGTAAAATGCATCCATACAGTGAACAGTTCCCTCAGGGTGCTTGGTTTGGAGTATAAGCAAAAAATGAGTTTAATAAAACTGGGGTTTCTTCCAAAGGAAAGGGTATTTGGTATGTTGTAATCTTGCATCTCTTGAATTGTGACTTACTCTAGTCCCTGTTGTTACATTTCTTACATATATTTTGTTACCAGAAAGATTTTCTTCTTTCCTTGGTTTTTAGTTTACATCTCAAATTTTTTATATAATTATTTGTTGCTGCTTCCTCTAAGAGTTGCTGCTGGTACTGCTGTTGCAGGCCACAGTTCGCAACACAAGTTTCCCAGCTTTAATTACTGAGGTTCTTAGGGGCAGTTTTGTAACTAGAATAGTTACAATAGTTTTTGGTGTTTTCCTTTATCCATTCTAGTTGCTGACAGATACTTCAGTCCATTAAGAATTCATGTGGTTTAGGTTTTTTCATTTAAATTTTTTGCAGGGTTTGCAACTCAATTCTGTGCAAGTTTTATGCCTGCCTTTTATCCAAATAAGCACTGACTTTAACCAGTTTCTCTCTAAAGGCCCATTCTTTATCAGAATGGATAATAAACACTCTTACCTACTTTTTGCCTGCCCTAATCCTGAGGCAAACAAAAACTTGTTGTTCCCTCAATGTGTTGAATTGTGAAATGTGTTTATTTACATAAGACTTCCTTATTCAGGAAGTCAGTCTCTCTGCTATTTAAAGTTATAAATGTACTTCTCCTGCTTGGCTAGTTACTGCAGGCAACCCTTTCCTGTAAATACTGACAGTGTGTTCTGCGGGAGATATGTCAGTATAGCGATGTGTCAGAATCTCAAATCTTGCAAAGAGATGAAGATCTCTTTTGCTGGTTTACCCTGACAGCTGTGAAGATGTCTTGCTGATCCCAGCTCACGTATATCGGAATTTGTGTAGTTTTGTTAATGCGAGAGCTGGGACAAAGTAGCTTTGTGGGAAGCGGACGTGGACATGAGTGCAGTTAAACCAAGATTGGCGTATCTACTGTTATTTTGGTGCCTTGTATGAAATACTTGAAAAAAGAAAAAGCAACACAGGAGCTGCTCTTTTCAAGTAACTTGTAAAATGCATCTATACAGTGAACAGCCCCTGCAGTTGTTTAGTTTGGAGTATAAGGAAGAAATTAGTTTAGTAAAACTTGGGTTACTTCTAAAGAAAAGGGTACTTGTGCTTGAGTGTATCTTTTATTATGAGAGGCATCGCCTGCTTACAGGGAATTTATTAGTCAATATGCAGATCAGATCAACTACCTGCAGATGTATGCTTACTATTTCTAATAATCTAACCATAAAACATACTCTCAGTGATAGCTGCCCAGTAATATGTTATCCTCTACAAAGAGGGAAGGTGAGGCAGTAATATGGAGAGGCAGGTGGGTGTTAGCCAGTGTCTTAACAGTGCAGAGGGGTGGATAGCTTAACTAGAGGAAAACTGCAGCAGGTGCCGTAAACATTTTGCTTGGTATGTGGTTTTGACTGTAAGAGGAAAACCTGATTATTTTGTATATTTGTATTTAACTACTGGAATTTGCTAAAAACCTTTACTCAAGAATGTGATACATTTACAAGGTATTTTATAGTAGTGCCCTAGAAAATTTTGTTCTTGGAACTCATTCTTAAAATGTATTCTTTTTTTTTTTTTCCCCCACATGGTAACCATGGAAATATATGCACTGCAGAAACAAGAGGTGTTTGAATTTTCACAATTTTCACACAGTCTTCAGTTTTCTTTGTAAAGTAATACCTGTTATATTTCACACAGGAAGGCGGTCTTTTGCACTGTAGGTCCTGTGGTAGTTGCAACATTTTGGATTAGTTGCTGGATAAAGTTCAGCTACAACTGTAGAGGGTGGTACTGCACAGGTGAAGCTTAATTCCTAATTGCTTGCAAAGCACATCAACGTATGATAGTTGAGGATTTTACTTGTTAAGATTTCTTCACATAACCTTTTCTGTATGAGCTAATTTTATATGTAGGGAATGTTAAGTACTGCATTTGAAAGTAATTGTATTAAACTTATAATTTATTAATTTGAAATTTTAAGTTAGTAGAATTAACTTATCTAATACAATAATTGAAAATTAATAACTAAAAACTAGAATTATTTCTCAGAAGCCTAGTCCAATGCCATACTTTCATGGTCACGGTACACTAGCACAAACTGGCACTCCTTCAGAAAAGGAGCAGTTCTCCTGCCCCACATATTTGCCCATTTCCACCCCACCTCTCCCTTCCCTCAGCCCAGGAGAAGCATTCATGTGATGGAAAGAACTGGGAGCTGCTGTGGATTAAAATTAGCTTCCCTTGTCCTCCCCTGCCTTCTGTCCATTCCTTTTTAATCTGGCCTAATTCCCTGACCTGGCTTGGCAGTCAGCCACAAGGATGCTTTTGCTCTTTCAAGGAAGGTCATGATAGAGAGAGGCAGTGACTGTGGAAGGACAGGACTGGGGTTTTTTGTATTTGTACCAGCCCATACTGAACACTGAACTGCAGCCTAACAAACCAAACTGTTATTTCTTGGACTTTTAAACCTCAAAGCATGTGGATTGTTGCAAGAGAGGAAGCAGATTTATGAATGTGTCGTCTCCGGCAGTCTGGAATAATTCCCTTCAATGAACACTTCAAGGGCAGGAGGAAGGTATGAGAGAGACTCCTTTCCTTAGGCCAAAGCTTAGTTTTAACGTATTCCAGAACTAACTGGATGCCAGTTCTAACTGGTCATTTTGGAGAACTGGAACAAAAAAATCAACTCTAATCAATCAGCAAAAGGTTGCTAGTAATGCTTTAATTTGAAAGGAAAGCTTGGGCAAGAAAGAGAGGTGCCACCCTGGAGGACCAAAAGGCCCAAAGGGACGGAACAGCTCTCACCCACCAGGAATCTGTGAGAGACTTTAGGCTATGTCACGTGCTTGGATGTTCAGATGAAGCTATTCTGCTTGTCTGCATTGAGGAAGTCTTAGCATATAATCAATAATTTAGGATTTGAATAATAAATCCCAGCTTGGTTCATAGGTTTTGGTTGTTTGTTTCAGGTTTTTTGGCAGAGAGGAAGAGAGGCTTTTGGTGTAACTGGAAAATGTAGCATTTATCTGTGTGTGTCTTGAGGAAGGAGTCACATTTTTTAATGAAGTACGTTAATTTATAAGTTTAGATGAGCATTGGGTCGGGATTCTCTTTTAGATTAAGAAAGCAGAGGGTTTATGTCACCTAGGGGTTTTTTTGGTGGAAAATGATAGAATTGGGACATATATGCATGTACAACTCTGCTGAGCAGAGCTAGTACAAGACTTGATTGTGTTTGTGACTGAATAAATTTACTGATTTACATTCTACGTTTGGGGTTTTTTAAACAAAATTTCAGGGATTCACTTTTTAGGTGATTTGGTGTTAGTTGGGTTTGGTCCCGTCTTCCCAGAGCGGTCTCTGTTACGTTGTACTTTTGGCATTAGCAGGGTTCACTGCCTCTGTA